AGTAGCAGTTGGTTATTCATTGCTTTTTGGGAAATAGGGGGAAAAAAACTTTCAGTAGCCTTTGATTCTCTTTTTTTGCCTTTGTTTTGAGTTTTTGAGTCGCAAAAACCGTGTCACACCGTTGTGTTGAGCTAGTTCAATTGAGCATGGCATTGTGGGATTTGGCCCCGGGGCACGGTCCCACTAGCCATGGGATAAGATAGACAGAAGAGCGCACCATCTGTGTGTGACCAGCCCCGTGCCTGTAGATGCCTATCAGATCAGAGGGACACAGATTTTCGGCGGGCTTTAATTTCGGTATAATTGCATTTTGTTGAGGTCTTTCCTTTTCGTCGCTCTTTGCTTACTGGTTAGACTTTTTCAGACATCTTCACCAATTATGATGGAAGTGATAACACACCCAGCCTTGTTTCTACTGCGAGTTGGGATGGGGTAGGGATGAGACTGCTCGGCACATTTTAGAAAGGACCAAAATTTAAAGGAGAAAAGAACGCGTTCGTAATTCTTTTCATGTGTTTGGCTTTGTTTGGGCGGGAAAAGCCAAACACAGCCAAAGTTCCAACTCTTTTGCAACTGTTCGGGCCCTCCTCCTCCCGGTGCAGGCGTGTCCAGAAACAACCCTTGAACCGTATCTGGACGGAAACACTGCCATGATACGTTCAAACCTGCTTATGCTGGATGTGAATTGCCCAAAAATATGTCTGGACGGTCCGGATTATCATGTCCGGATTGGTCCGGATTGGAAAAAAAAGAAAAAAAAAAAATCACTTGCAGGCTCTTATGCATGTTGAATGCAGTTGAATCGTGTAACCTGACTTAAGGGGAAGTGTTCCAGGAAGACATAGCTGTTGGCATATGTGACAAGCATGAATGATCCGGATTGGTCCGGATTGGAAAACAAAATGTCCGGATTGGTCCGGATTGATCATTCCTTGACATGCACTGTGCTGGCACAGTCACTGCAAAGCACAAGCTGCTGCAAGGGAAGAAAAAGTGAAGAAACAACAAAAAGAACACTCCGCAGCAAACCTGAATAAAGGTAAATATAATACCTTTCTCGGCCTTTTGGCTAAGTAAGATCAAGTGTAGTATCTGTTCTGATCAGTTTAATATCTGATCCGTGGTCCATCGGACCACACAAAAAAAAAAAAAAAAATGAATAAAGGTAAATATTAAATGAAGTTCAAGACTTTAGCAGTTCATAATTTAAAGTTCAAAGTTTGAAGTCCGAGTTCAAACTCTCTCTCTCTCTCTCTCTCTCTCTCTCTCTCTCTCTCTCTCTCTCTCTCTCTCTCTCTCTCTCTCTCTCTCTCTTTTGCGCACCAGTCCACAACGGTAACAAGGGCTCTGTGTGTGTGTGTGCGTGTGTGTGGCAGCGGCGGGTGGGCGAGAAAGCACTCCGAAGTGCCTAGATCCGCCCTTTCTTCCCTTTGTCACTGGGAAACTGCGCTCTGCCTCCAACAGTCTGCCCAGGATGCAAATAGAAAAGGGGTCGGTCCAGCCGCCCTGTACGGCTGATACCGGCCCTAAAATTCATAGAAACATTTTTCAGGGGGCACCCTGGACCCAAGGAACAAATCTAGGGCGCCCCATTTTTTTTTCGAATTTTGGGGTTTTGGCCCCTTCCGGATGGGCCTCCTACGGTCCGGCGTCCAGACAACCGACAGCAGACCGTCTGGACGCCTGTCCGGATGTCCGGATGGTAACCATGCGATTTTTTTAATGTCACTTTTTTTCCTTTTTCTCCTCATGCCCGCTGCACGAAGTCATGCACACGTGATGACGCAGGAGGGTCACAATCAGGAAAACAGGACAGAGTGAGGAAAAGAACTTCCTTTTGAATGCGCCTATCCACTAAACGGGGCATATTTCAACAACTCGTGTGAAAGTACTACCTGTTGGCTGGATGAACGCCTCGTTGCTCCGTTTGCCGAATCGGGCTTTGGACGGTACGGTACTATGGGGCTCGTTCGACACTCCTTGGGGCGTCCTCGGTGCCGAAGGAAACTCCCGCCATCGTTCCACCTGTCCTCGGGGACGTTGCCCGAGGACATTTCCTTCGAAAGATGTCAGACAAGAAAAAAGAAAAGAAAAGAAAAAAATCAAATGTGTTTGAGGCCTTCAGCCAATCGGGTGCCGCCACGATCCAGATTCTCGGTTGTAACATCTCTCTACCCATGTGCCCGCTCCTCTCCGTGAAACGCGGATTCCTTTTGCCCAAGGGACCTCGTGAGGTCCCTTGGGCAAAAGGAAGAAATGGCTGGGGAATCCTCGGAGCCCAAGGAATTTCCTTCGGAGTGTTTTCACTTTTTTTTTTTTGCCGACTGCATCCCCGAGGGTAGGTGGAACGAACAATTCCTTGGGGACTTTACGTGCCCGAGGAGTGTCGAACGAGCCCCTATGATACGTTAGAAGCCAGGCTCATTCTGTCAATAAAAGTTGTCGTTCCGTGAGAAATCGTCGTTTAGCTGGCTACCAAGAGTAAAAAAGGAGAGCTAGCTCAATGGATGGGCGCTCGGGTAGGGGGTGTTCTATTTGAGAAGGAGGCGTTTTACTCTGGTTTCCAATAGTAATAAAAAAAACAAGAAAATGAAATTAAATTTTCTTTCCTTGAATCCACCGCTGCCGCAACCTCATACCACAATGCGCATTTCCAACCGGTGCTCTAACCACCTACTTTCCTCCGGGTGAACTGGTGGGTTAAAAAACCACCCGTACTGACGGCGGGGCGGGGCGTGGTCTCATACCACAATGCGCATT